GACTCTGTCCTGTGTGTCTCCAGATGTTGGACCTGTCTGACTCTGTCCTGTGTGTCTCCAGATGTTGGACCTGTCTGACTCTGTCCTGTGTGTCTCCAGATGTTGGACCTGTCTGACTCTGTCCTGTGTGTCTCCAGATGTTGGACCTGTCTGACTCTGTCCTGTGTGTCTCCAGATGTTGGACCTGTCTGACTCTGTCCTGTGTGTCTCCAGATGTTGGACCTGTCTGACTCTGTCCTGTCTGTCTCCAGATGTTGGACCTGTCTGACTCTGTCCTGTCTGTCTCCAGATGTTGGACCTGACTCTGTCCTGTGTGTCTCCAGGCGTTGGACCTGTTGTCTCCAGCTGTCCATGCTAACGCTGCAGCCAGACTTCGAGCCAGCGTTCGTCGAGGAACTGCTTTCTGTCAGCTGCAGCTCTACGCTGAAGGTTTGATGTTTTTTAAATATTTCTGTCTCATACGTGCAGTTTGTCCTTCAGATGGACCAGGGGACAGCTGAGTCCTCTGATCTACCCGTGTCTGTCTTTCAGGGCTACAGGACTACGAAGCTGCTCTGAAGATCAACCCTCATAACAAGGAGCTGCAGGAGGACGCCCAGAAGATCAGAGACATTATCCAGGGTTCAGCTACTGGACAGAGACAGGATGCATGAGACAGGATGAGACACAAGACATGAGACATGATGAGACATGATGAGACACGACATGAGACATAATGTGACACAATGAGACATGATGAGACACAATGAGACATGAGACACAATGAGATACAATGAGACACAAGACATAAGACTTGATGAGACACAATGAGACATGAGACACGAGACATGATGGGACACAAGACATAATGAGACATGAGACACAATGAGACACAAAACAAGATGAGACAAGACACAAAGAGACATGAGACATGATGACACAATGAGACATGAGACAATGAGACACGTGACATGAGACAAGACATGATGAGACACAGATATGAGACATGAGACACAATGAGACATAGATATGAGACATGAGACACAATGAGACACAAGACATGAGACACAATGAGACATGAGACACGAGATGAGACACAATGAGACACAAGACATGATGAGACACGAGACATGAGACACAGAGACACAAGACATGATGAGACATAAGACAATGTGACATGATGAGACATGAGACACAATGAGACACGAGACACAAGGAGACACAATGAGACATGATGAGACACAAGACATGAGACAAGATGAGACACAAGACACAATGAGACACAATGAGACAGACTCTCAGGGACAGGAGTCCGTTGTTGAACCTTTCAGGAAACAAATATTTGCAGAAAGTTTTCTAAATATTTCTGTAGAAAAGATCAAATTTTATTTTGTCTTTTTTCAGGAAACTGATGAAAATAAACTGAAACTTAGAACTTTGTTTCAATAAATGTGAAATTAAATCATTTGTAAGAGTTACTGTTTGAGGAGATGAATTTTCTTTTGTTTTATTATTTGATTATTATTGTATGAAATTATTGTTGTTTGTTTTTTGAAAATGGGGCAGATGTTAGACTTTTTCTTCTACCTTTCATTTTATTTGATTTGTATTTTTTGTTGTGTGATTGTGTTGTTTTGTAATAAAGTGAATAAATTTCATATTAAAAAATAAATAAATAACCACAAAGCAGATGGAGACTTTTCAGGTTTATTTAAGAAAATATGAAGAGTTCTTTATCTGAAGGGACATTTAGGACATTTGACCGTCTTCCAGCAGCAGGGACAAATGTTTATCTGTACAGAGGAGGACATATTTACATGTTCAGGCACTTCAGGTCACTTCTTCCTGGATCCGTCCTCATGAGACCCTGATCTCCTCCTCAGACTCAGACTGAGACCAGTTCTGCTGGGGGAGCGCTGGCTCCTGGCTGTCGGTTCTGGTCCGGTCCAGGTGCTGGCAGAAGGCCCCGCCCACGTCCGTCAGGTCCGGGTGGGGGTTGGTTTTGGTGGGGAGGGTCTGCTGCCTGCAGCCCCCCGTCGACAGCAGCTCCCGCTCTTTGGAGTTCCTCCACTTCATCCTGCGGTTCTGGAACCAGATCTTCACCTGAGCAGAACCCAGAACCCAAAGGTCATCAGAGGTCAGAGGGTCTACAGGTCCGGGTCCAGACTTGACTGCCTTTAAACCTGAGTTTATAAACTCTGAAGCCAGAAAGACCTGACAGCTGTTCATTAAAGCTTCACATCAATCTAAAACCACAAGTTTCATCTTCTGCTTCAAAAACAGCTCAAATCAGAATAACAGCTAAAATAGCATCATGTCCAGAGATGAAGCAGCAGATTTGAGTTTTGAAGAATTAAAAACCCTCCGTGTGTTTTTCTACGAGGAATGTTTCTGTGATCAAACTTAAATCATTTTAAGTTTTAAGACTAACATTTAAAATTGAGCCAAACATTTAAAAAATCAACTTTAAAACATCATAAATCTGTGGAACAAAATCCATCAATCTAAAACTGAAAAGAAAACAACGCTTGTTTTCCCTGACTCAGCATTTAGTTCATTAAGTTCATTGAACTCTTAAATCAGCTAAAGATTAAACATTTAAATCAGCTAAAGAGACGTGATATTATTCTGACAAACCTTTTTATTCATTTACATTTTCACATTTGTGTCCTGCAAACATCCTCCACTAGAGGGCAGCAACCTGCATCATTGTAGCTGCAGAGGAGAAATAAACAACTGAATGCTAAACACGTTTTGGCTTTAGCTGCTCTTTCACTCATTTTAGCTGATTTATTACTCATTTTAGCTACTGTTTTACTAATTTTAGCTTCTATCCTACTATTTCTGCTGCTATTGTGCTCACAAGCTACTTTTTTTCTCTTTTTAACTGCTATCTTACTCATTTTAGCTGCTGTTTTACTCATTTTAACTGCTATTTTACTAATTTTAGCTGCTGTCTTACTAATTTTAGCTGCTGTCTTACTCATTTTAGCTGCTGTCTTACTCATTTTAGCTGCTGTCTTACTCATTTTAGCTGCTGTCTTACTCATTTTAGCCACTATTTTACTAATTTTAGCTGCTGTCTTACTCATTTTAGCTGCTGTCTTACTCATTTTAGCTGCTGTTTTACTCATTTTAACTGCTATCTAACTCATTTTAGCTGCTGTCTTACACATTTTAGCTACTATTTTACTAATTTTAGCTGCTGTCTTACTCATTTTAGCTACTATTTTACTAATTTTAGCTGCTGTCTTACTCATTTTAGCTGCTGTCTTACTCATTTTAGCTACTCTTTTACTCATTTTAGCTGCTGTTTTACTCACTTTAGCTTCTGTCCTATTTTTGCTGCTATTGTGCTCATATAAGCTACTTTCTCATTTTAGCTACGGTCTTACTGATTTTAGCAACTTTTTAAATTTACGCTTCTGTTTGCTCATTTTAGTTGCTTTTGTAGCATACAAATTTAGCTTCTAGCACATTTTAGCTACTATTTTGCACACCTAAGCTACTTTTTGCTCATTTAACTGATGTCTTACTCATTTTAGCTACTATTTTACTCATTTTAGCAGCTGTCTTACTCGTTTTAGCTGCTATCTTACTCATTTTAGCTGCTGTTTTACTCATTTTAGCTTATGTCCTATTTTTGTTGCTATTGTGCTCACATAAGCTACTTTTTTCTCATTTTAGCTACGGTCTTACTGATTTTAGCTACTTTTTTAATTTAAGCTTCTGTTTGCTCATTTTAGTTGCTATTATAGCTACAAATGTAGCTTCTGTCTAACACTGTCTACTGCTTTGGACACCTAAGCTACTGTTTGACTGATTTCAGCTACTGTTGTACTGTCTGGTGTTTCAGCTGAACCTGGTCTCAGAACCAAACCCAGTCGACCCGGTTCTTGTGGTACCTGGGAGTCCTTCAGGCCCAGTTTCCCGGCCAGTTTCTTGCGGTCCGGTTTGCTGATGTACTTCTGCTTCTGGAAGGTTCTCTCCAGGGCCTTCCTCTGCAGGTCTGAGAACACGGCCCGCCTCAGCATGCCCCTCCTGGGCTTCCCCCGGGGGGCCAGGGGCCAGGAGAAGGTTCCCGGGACCGGAACCACCAAGGAGGAAGAGGAGGCTGAGGGAGGAAGAAGACCAGGGATTTACTTTTAGTTTTCATCTCTATGAAACAACAAAACCTGTTATGGTCTGAACGCTGACTCAGCATCTTACAATGCTGAGTCAGCGTTCACACACTTGTTTTCTCTGTAGACCTTGGACCCGGACCCAGACCAGGACCTGGATCCAGACCCACAGAGAAACCTGACTGTTGCCATGAATGGAGAGGAAAGGCCGTGGACGGGTCCAGTTGTTCCAGAACCATCAGAAACGGGTCAGAACCGAGTTCAGTCTGATACCAAATCTGTCCGGTGCCGAATGAGATATTTTACTAACAGATGTTCTGCTCCACCTGTCACTTCATCTGGTTCAATGTGTTTGTTAGTAAAATATCTCCTGAACCACTGGACTGATTCTGATTGACTCAATTATAAACGGCACACACAGGTCCAACTGGGCCTGATACAGAACCATGCTGGTCCAGTACAGGAGGAGCATCCTCAGAATAAAAACAGGTGGTTTCTGGACCCACCTGTGAAGCAGGAGGTTCTGATGAGGGGATGAAGACTTCCATCAAAGACCGGCAGAGTCTGAAGAGTCTGAGCTGCAGAAGAAAACTGCTGAGTCATGATAAGATTCCGTTTCTCCTGAAGCTGAACTTATTATTATTATTAT